AAAAAAAAAAAAAAAAAAATCAGAATCAACCCAGTCTCAACTCCCAGGCCCTCATATTGTTTGGATACCACCACCTAGTGGAATATGTGTTGCATGGCATGCACACACAATACTGTGCACGCTCATTTGCATCCACAAAGTCACAGAAAAAGCCAACCGACTCAGACAGGTGTTTTGAACGATCCGAACGGTGACAGAAGACAAGGAAAAAAAAGAACCCTGACAAGCTGCTTTCCATTAACTGCAAAGCACTGAACAATATTTGAAAAGTTCTTTTGGATGAAACACATATTTATACAATGATTTGGATGAAATGGTCACTCAAATATGCTCAGAATAATGAAAAAAAATATTGCAATTCAAAATAATTTCCATGCACAAATTACCAATCTGCTGTATCTACAAAAATCCTATTTGCATGCATATATCAAGGTCTGGTTTGAAATCCTCTCTCCTGCATTGTCAATAGCGGATAGCATTTGAATTTTTTTTTTCCCGCCTGTACCTTGTAATAATTTCTATTTCTAGCTATACATGCACAACATAGGGCATTAGATGGCTCCTTACCTGAACAACAATATAGGCACAATTAAGTATTAAAAAGACATTCTTATACTAAAACCCTCTTAGGCAAGTGGGTTCTGCTCTTATGTGAAGCAAGCAATTCTCTTTATACAAGCAACGAGTGGAGTGCTGCTCAGAAGCCTACATCAAAAGGCTGGGAGATGGAATGACTTAGGGGATTCATAATGGGATACCGAGCTTTCAATGCCAAATCACAAGAGCAGGCTACTAGTGATAAAAACCCTATCTGATAATTTGATTAAAGTCATTCAGTGATCTACATACAAAGGATGCTGTGGCTTCACCTCAGTTTTTAGTGTACACTATACCTCTTCACAAAAACAACCACCCATTTTGCCCACTTCACTGCCCCAGAGAAGCCAAGATTTTAATGGATGAACAGAGCTACCCTCTGAACCCTACTAACAGTTGCTCCAACATAGCATTGGAGCAGTGAGACAATGTGAGATATCCATTTTGCCAGCAACTCTGGTATACCTGGCCTGCCAGGATTCATAGCACCAGTCTATAACCCCCCATTGATACAGACAAGCAGTGCATTTAGTAACAGGATATTTGGTCCCCACAGAATTTATCCTAAGTAGCATAATCAAATGCAGAGAAATGTAGTATTTCTTGTGGGATTTTCTGACGCAGAGGAGAGTCCCTGCTTAAACTGGGTGTAAAGAAGGGGCTCTGAAGAATGGAAAAGTAGGATATAGACTCAGCAAACTTGAGGGAAAACTACTAAGTCCAAGAGGAGGTTCTCAGTAGAATCTGATTTTATTTCTGATTACTCTTATAATAAAAACCAAAGCCCAGGGAAGAGGAGAGTTCAGATTCTAGAGTGAGGACCACATTTGCAGAACAAGTCGGGAAAGGTGTCTGCTCCAGTTTCTCAAGCCCTGGATAACGAGACAAAGACAGGAGACTAGAATTGTGATCCAAGTAAATCTAAATGCATCCAAGGAAAGAACATGCATGTGGCATGCAGCCAAACTCTCAGAAACGGTGGATTTTCACAGATGGCTATTTGAGTCTTCACACTCATAGTATTAGCAGCATAGATATGGAAATGTGATTAACTGTTTGGGGATGTTGTTATTTGTAAGTCTTGGCAATAATACTCTGTGATCATCTGCATAAGAAGAACTTAATAAACTGGGAACTGAAGAAAAAAAAGATTTGGTAAAAAAATAAAATAAAATACTGTTGTTATTGCTATTCAGTACATGAAGGTTTAATTGCCATTTGCAATATAACATCTCTTTCCATCCCCCTCCCATTATGGGCATAATAAACTTTTCTGTCTATTCATTTTCTTAATCCACTAATTTAAGACTGAAATGGCTTGTCCACATTAGGTTTCAGTATGAAACATGTTAAGCAGGTTAGCTAATTTATAAGATGCATTGCATTGTCTGACTGAAGTCTAGAGTCGCTGGTTGCTGTATATGATTTACGGATCAGTAAAACAGTTTGAAATGGCAAAAAACTCCAAAATTGATCTAAACTTTTTAAGACCAGCCAAAAAAGAAATGAAGATTGAAATCAACTCCAGTAAGACCATTCCTCCCTCATCCAAGATCTGCTCTGACCACAAGAAGTCTTCCTGCCTTTACTTGGCCCCTTTTGGACCCCAGATGAGATCTCAGCACATCTGGTGATCCCTGCTTTGGCAATTGCATTCTTCCAATCTTGCATGTTCTAGCTTCAACCACACTAGCACAGTCCTGATTCAGGAGCTGAGAACACGCACTGGCAATGGGCAGTGCACAAGAGCATCGTTCTGAAGTTCATTCTACCTGGCAGTATTATACCAGATACCAAACTGCCACCCCAAGAGCATTAGTGTTGCACGTTTTTCCTTAGTTTATGTTAAATTAAACTTTAAGACTAGCATTTGACCAGCTTTCTACTACTAGAAAACCTGGTTTGCTTGTTTATTAAGCAACAGTTGTCTGCATTGAAGAGGTTGGTTGGTACTGGAAATTTAAATTTAAAAGATTCTTTGCTTCACCCCAAATGGGGTTTTTTGGTTTGTTTACTACTGATACTAGCTGGCATCTAACTGGGAGCTTATGGAAAAGAGTAAGAGACCAAATGAATTTTCTCATACTAAGTTTTTATACCTTCAAACTCCTCAATGCCATCATTTGCTTTACTTTTAAGACCCTGATCTTAAAAATTTAATTTAGGCCACGATCACAGCCTGTGTATTTGTTTCAAATGGAGTAACATAGTGAGGAACTTATCTTATTCCAGATTAACATGCTATTACAGCAACACTGTTATTTTCATGGCTAAGTACCCTGGAAATTCCCAGTGTATATTTAAGAGTCAAATCCTGTTCACTTACCTTTACCTATGCAGGAAGTCTCCTATCTGTCTATCGGGGTGGGGGTGGGGGGGAAGAGATCACTAGATGAAAAAAAAAAAAAAAAGAGATTA